TGAGAATGCGAACGTGTTATTATGAGTGTGTTCATGTGTATGTGTGTGTATGTGTTTGTGTGTGTGTGTGTGTGTGTGTTTGTGTGTGTGTGTGTGAGTATGCGTAAGCGTGTACACGCGCATGTTCATGTGTAAGTGTACGAGCGCGCATCCGCACGTTTAATGTGCATGCGATCGAGTGTGTGTGTGTGAGAGTGTGCGTACGCTTGAATTGATTTCCAACATGTCCGACAATGCCGTTCGTTTTCTTATCAGAGTCCTGTTTCAGTGGTTGCTGTTGTTGTTCTTTACGAAGCTGCCCTCGACGTGTTGTCAGCTGTTGTGTTCTCCCAGTAGTCCCAGACCCTTGTCTTGTTGCTACAGTCGAATTCTGTCGCCACTCTGTGGCTCAGCACACTTCCCTGTTAGGAAGATAATAATCAATAGGAGAACAGCAATAAATAGGTGAAAAGTGGAGCACAAAATAGTTGAAATTTCACTTTAAAAAGGAACGCAATTTTTAACGGATTGCAATGTTTATTTCTGATTTTCTTTTGAAACTGTTCTAAGTCTATCTTAATCAAAACAAATCTTTGACAATTCATCATTATTGTTATTATCATCCCCATAATTGTTATAATTTCAGTATTGTAGTTATTTGTAGTTGCTTTTTTTTTCATTGATAGTGTTTAATTGTTGTTATGACTGACTATTCCTGCCTCTAGATTCTACCCTTCTTTTTATCGTCACTATTTTCTTTACCATCATATTATTTGCTTTATATATTAAGTGGCTATTTTTATTATTTGTATTGTTATTACTTTATTTTTCCGTTCCATGATTGGTATTGGTAGTGTTGAGCGCTAGGACTTCTTTACTAAGACGAGTGTACGCTTGCTTAATTCTTCTTTTCCAATACCCTTGATAAAGGTAGTTACAGATGTTATCAAAATCTGACAGTGGGCCCTCTATAATTTATTTATGTAGATGTTAATTCTTGTATTTCAATTTTAGGTAGTAACTTTTTATCAAGAATTTAAACCGAATTATTAGGTGTAATTTGCATTCCCGCAAAAATATTGAATAAAACCACAAAAAGTCAACGGTAACTTATGATAAACGAACAAAACAAATAAACAAGAGGCGACTAGACGAACGAAAGCCAAACAGTATAATCAAAATTCAGACTGCACCTTCAAATAACATTCATACATACACGAACCCACGACGAGCGTAGTGATCAACGCCCAGTGTCGGAGAATAGAATCCATGATATTACAGGTATTTGATCGATAATCATACTTTAAAGAACCGACTGTAAAATGATTGATATTGAGAGAAGTGTATAAAAATAAGAAAAAGAAGAGGAAGAAAAGCAAGAGAAGTAAAACGAACCAACAAAATTATCCCGGAAACGATTGAATATTTCTCGCAATAGCCAATGGTAGTTAATAGGACGAGGGCGTTTCTCCGCTGTCATTGCAGTGAGGTATAGAATAACAAGCTTGTATTTTGATTCTGTACCGCTAATATTGCACGATAGTGCATGCTCTGTTCTGCACTTACGAAATAGAAGGAGGGGAGGGGGTGGGGGAGATGGGAGGGAGTGAATGCGGTTTGTTGGTAATATTCTCTTGCTCTTATGCAAATAACGAGGAATAAATGACAGGCAGTGGGCCCCGTCCCAGCCAATCCCCGGCCCACACTGTCAGCTCTGCCGTCCGCCCTGAAGGATTTTTATGGGTTCTCTCCCCTTCATTAATCTTGTGTCTCGGCGTCTTCGCTTTTCGCTTGTTGTATGTTCGCATGGACTTCTTTTTTGTATGCGGTATACTATTTTTTGTTATCCTTAACGGCTCGCTGGTTTGATAGACTCCAAACTGCTACACACACAAGCACACACACACGCACACACACACACACACACACACACGC